TTTTTTCACTTTTGCCTTTCAGGTGAACGACAGCCACTGACCGACAAGAACAAAACCGACCCGGGAAACTTGGACAAAAGCCTCGATCCTGTGTATCAATCCGTGAATCCGTGAATACACCACAGCAAAGTTCGAAATACATCTCTGGCGTTTATACGCAGGCATTGAATAAACCGACAATACGGCTCCTTCTTGAGAAGACACTTGAGCACATTGATGTTTTTTAACAACCAAAGTATTTCTGCTGCGCAGATTTTATGCGGTTCACACCAGTGAAGCGAAAGGTGTTACCGGAATATTATATTGTGTCAAACAGATTTCATGTTCGCAGGTGAACTGTTCGTTATGGTGAATAACTTTGTTTATCTTGAAAACTCTATACGCCCCGATGAGCTAATGGAAGAGTAAGTCATTTCTTTAATTCAGAAGAAAAGAACAATGCTTGTAATCTCCGATATTTGGCGCCTAGCTGACAGCTCGACGTCAAGTGTAAGGGTATGTTGTTCAATGCCGCGGTCCAATGTGTCCTACTTACCTGAATGGACTTCGAAGTCTCGCTTCGTTTGGTCACGGTGCCGCCGAGACGTTGTAAGGGTCTGCGGGTGCATCAGACCACAAATGATGATGCACCTCAGATGGTTTTCGGGGAAGTTGACTCTCCCTTAGATGAGCGGCTGGTCACAGTTCACGCTGGTTGGGACTTGGGTTTCGTGTGTCAGTGTTAGGTGGAATTACTCACCGATACTGCTTGACCGCTCTCGGTTAGATGCTGCTATATTAAATAAGCCTATCCCGCTCAAGATTTTCAGCCGCCCGGGTCGCTTGTCGGTTCGGCATCAAGCCGAGCTGTGATTGGTCGAAAATCTGGACCCAACAACTTGTCATGACACTGTATTGGCCGAATGCCGGTTTGCAATACCGCACACAGAAGGCATCGGAATTCCCACGTTGACCCCGGTTATACCATATATACGATGCACTTTATAAGTGTTTTGGCGTTGATATACATTGTGCACCTTTGGTGGTTGTTTTGATCTGAACGCTAGCGTGGGAGTTTCAGTCCGAAAACTAAGCTTAAGAAAACACGGTTATTAGTCAGAAGATCGTTCGGTTGGTAGAGCACTCTTCACCTTGCATCAGCCATAACGAATATCACTATTTTTGTGACCCGGCTTCTGAACATACTCAGGGCCGAAGAGACGACACCTCTCATCTTCATTTTTGTCTCGTAACTCCTACCCTGTTCCATTCAACGATCATCATCATCAACCGCGTAATTGCCGTACAGTGGTTATAGCTGCCGACGGCTTAGGGAGACGAAGTAGATAGCTGCGCACTGCAGGTGGTTGCTGGTAAAATTGTTGCGTAAATACAGAGCTGTCATTGGACTTTTAATTGGGTAAATATTGGAGGGGGCTGCGCAATGAAGGCAATAGCTTGGGCGCGCGAGCACCATTGAGGGTGCTACTGGGTCGACTGGAAATTGATGTGCCCCGTCTCGGGGTCCCCATCCAGGGAAACGGCAAAGTCCAGCGCAACATAATTAGTTGGCAAGGACTTTCATACTTCTCTGCTAAGTCATTGTTTGACCCTTGGCTCGTTTCCACCCTTCACATGGTTGTGCGAAAAGCGCCCTTCGACAAAGTCGGCGACTGACAAACGGAGCACGTCGCCAAATGCAACCTGTGAATGTGATCACTTCGTCTAGTGTGGGCGATTCGTCTCTTCCGAAAACCATTCGACCTACTTCAGCATTACTTATCTGGTGTTCCCACCAGGCTCATGCAATGCTCCGAAGACATCGAGGTCAAACTTTGAAATTCTCTTGACGCCCTCGGTGCCCAGCGGCCAGTTTTCTGACCGCAGCATTGTAAATTCGACCCTTGATGGACAAGTTAATGCCACGCCCTCGCCGCAGGTGATACAGGTTCACGAAAACTACTCTTGCCTTCCCAATTCGGATGAAGTTATCACCCTTCGTGAGGGCACAGAGACTGATACGGCTGCTAAGGTAAACAAATCTGTCTACTACCTCAATCGGCTCATGTGCAAGCATGAGGTTAGAGATTGAGCCTATCCAGTGTTGCAGTGGCACTTTACACTTTGTAGGTATAGGTATAGGGCGCATTCCAAACCGTGAGGTAGGATTTAGCTTATTTGGTATTGTCTGCACTACCACGGGGTCAGGTCCAAGAAAAGCCATGTCGTCTGCTGACTCGACGTCTGTGGGCGAACGCCCTGGGAGCACTTCGACGTCGCAAGGATAAGAGGCTGGCGTGAGTCTTCCATAATTGTGTTAATGACGAAGTTGAAGAGGAAAGGTGAAATAGAACAGCCTCACCTAACACCACTGGATATGGTGAACTCAGGTGAGAGTCTTCGGTTGACCTTTATACGTCCGTGTAAGTTGGCGTACAGCGTCTTAGAATTTATGGGGAACACTTTTGCTCTGCCATAATACTTGACGGCAGCTTTCAGGTTACGGAAGACGAGCATGGTTGGGTGCTGGAAACAATGTCGCTGTTCCAGAATTTGTTGGAGGGTGAAAATATTATCGATGCGTCCTCTGGCAGGATGGAACCCAGGTTGGTTTTCACAGGTATGTTTCACCCTCCCTCCAAGAAAAAGAACAGAGAGCACCTTCAATGTCACAGCTGCCAGGCTGATGCCACGGTGGCTTTCACACAGTGCGCGTGCACTTTTTGGAGATGGGGATAACTGTTGACATGTCTTATTCTACAGGTACCTTCTCTTCGTTTCATATAGCACCAACAAGCTTTGTCAGACGAATCACCATGGGTTCTTCGCCTTCTTTGAAGAGGGTTAGATACAGACCGTCCAGTCGTGGTGGCTTCTCACGTTCCAGCAGAGGTGTTTCGTACTTTTCTTCTTCCGACAGGCGATTGAGGTCTACATCTCATTCGCCTGTATGCACTATCTCCACAGGCTGTGTCTCAGGAAGTCAGCTAAACTGTTCTTCGAAGTGTTCGGCTTATCTTTCCAGTCGACGTTTATGTGGATGAATTAATGGGCTGCATAATTTCACTTATGGTTTCACTGACCACTGCTTTACTAGGACCAGTCGGTTGTATCAGTTGATATGGGGCACGGCTGTTTCGGGTCGCAAAAGCTTTCCTCCATCTCCCGAGCTTTCGAACTCCACCGGAACTCTCATTCTTTCCTTAGAATCTCCACTATTTGTCGTTTGAGGGATTTGCATGCGCCGTCCTACTCTTTGTCTGCTGGTGTGGGTTTCCTGACATCAGTCATGACTAGAGAACTTGGCGATGTCCAGTGATCTTGTGGTGGAATCACAGAAGTCGGACGGACAGCACTGGACCGTGCTAGCGTAGCTCCTCTCACATTTTGCCGTGGTCCATCCACGTGTTAACTGCTAGTACAGTATGGGTTTACAGTATGGGTTTAGTTGAGTTAGCTCAGATCGATTCTACTTAGCTACTAGTAGTCGTTCTTCAAAGGTGAAACCTTGAAATCCTTTGACTCCTAAGATCAGCACCAATAACCAACGCTTCACACTTACTGTCCAAGACGGATCCATTGCGCAACCGAGACGCCTTACCGGTCGCGCCAGAGGACTGGTGGAACCTTTTCAACTTTACCCGGAGAGACAGTCTTACGTTGAGCAGCCAAAACGGGGAGATATCAAGATGGTCAGATTCCAGAAAGCAACCCTAGAACGCCTGGAGCGTACTGACTGACCCGACCTAAAGCTGCCACCTTGACGTGGTGGTCGGGCTTCAGTGCTGCAATGATCCCGCGAGCTACACTGGCTGGAATTTCGTTCCACAAGGTGCAACCATGCCAGGAGGGCCAAAGGGGAGCAGCCAGACCAAGAGCAGCGAGACCCCGTACTACGAGTAATCATGCTACGAGGCGGTCTGGGGGTAAAGTCGTACTGTCCTCTGCGACAGGAGTGTGAAGGCAGTAAGGTGTTTCCCCCAGGCGACTAGCATGTCCATATTTATGGAAGCAGCGATGCTGCCTTCCTCCGAGGAAGGACGGGTTAGAATAGGTCGGCCCCAAAAACCGCACACTCCGATCGCCCAACGGTTGACCGTGACCGCCGGCGCATTATCCAATACGGTCGAAATACTTTTAAAACCAAAGAGCCCGGTGCTGCTCAAAAGGCACCTGTTGTGCGCAGCCGCATCAGGAATGAGACAGTAATGCCTTATTCCCTGCGCCCTCGGGTTAGGCCAACCCCCTGCAGCCGAGCAGGTCAGACTATTGAGTCATCGGCTCCGGGCAGGGTCCCCAAAGAAAACCCTACATTCTCCCACTGCCTCGTGGGTCAGACTTTTGAGTCAGAGGCTAGGGTCAGGGTCCCCGAACAAAACCCTACGTCATCCCACTGCCTTGTGGGTCAGACTTTTGAGTCGAAGGCTCAAGGTGGGGTACCTCAACCAAACCCCCTTCCTCGGCCTGGGCAACCGGGAAGTATCATTTGCCCGCGCAGTTCAGCGTCCACCGATGTCCCTCCCCAACCCCTTCCCACTGCACAAGCAAACGTCGCTGGGCCATTTGACTGTCAGTCATCTGACCGAAGGTCCTTATGCTCCTCGCTGCCTACAAACATTAAACAAAATAACACCTTTCTAAATCCACGAGATCCTTTCTATATAGGAGCTTTTAACGTCCGTACTCCATGTCAAATTGGCAAGCAGGCAATGCTTGCTGAAACCTTGTACTCCCTTAAAATTGATGTATGCTGTGTATCCGAAACACGCATACAAGACCGGAGCGTGGCTCTGCATCTCAGAGCGCCATGGATGAACTCAGCTCTTTCACATTTCTCCCTCTGGCTCAGCACAATTTGACTGGACGATGGATTAGACGATATCCCCAACGTGTCCTGTGTGTATACAGTGAGGTATTATGGGATTAGGTATTTAAAAAAACGGAAGAGGCCAGTTGGGCTGGGGATACACTAATCTGTTCCATCCAATCCAGAATACAGTATTTAAAGACTTGTAAGATGATACTGAAAACCCAGCGTTTAGGTCGCTGGGTCCTCTGCCTCTGTGCTTGTGTTTAATTCCACCTGCTCATTTTGAGTGGTGGTTTGTGGCTTTACATCACCCTCATTTGACGAAGTAATAACATGCTCTTCTGCCTTAAGGCGGCATCGAGCTGCTGAGCCAGGGGAGCTTCCCTCAGAGTTGTTCGAAGATGGAGGAGAGTATTGGTGTTCCGACTTGGCTAGGCTTCTCGCACGGATTTGAGTACATGACCCTGTTCCAGAGAATTAGATCCATTTGTTTGTTCCTATGTTCGGAAAAGCTACCTGAACCAACTGGCCTATGGGAGTATGAAACTCACGTCTTTCGTGGCATACCTGCTTTTTTTCCTCATATCGCAACTCCCATCTTCGGCATGTGAGACATCAGTTCGAGAGCGTCAAGCAGGATTTCGACCTGGCAGAATGTGCATTCATTATATCCCGATGTTACATCAAGTGCTTGAACGTTGTCACACGTACCGCCAAGTGACTATGGCGGATTTCCTCGAAATCCGAGGAAACTTCGACCCTTTGGTTACATTAGGTCTCAAGTAATTTTGGCCAAAGGAACATGCCCTTGAAGCTTGTAAACATTCTTGGTACCCCGTTTTCTTATGCCTCTGGTCGAGTTAAGGTGTACAGTGAGTTGACCAGAAGGATCCTGATAACTGGTGGAATTCACCAGGGTTGTTCCACTTTGAATTTTTGTTCTATCTCGTAATCGACGTTAAAGTGATTCAAGCGACCATATATTATGGTACCGAACTATTCCTGGAGAAAGATTGATGAACTCTCATTTTCAGGACAGCGTCGCTTTTTGCGACTACATGTTCGGGCAAAATATTTTGATCAGAATATCGCAGGTGGTCCCAACCTTTTGCATGATGTTTGCAGCTTCAAAGTGTAGGGTCTTATTCCAAGCTCTCCCGTCGTTTTGTGATTCCCTGAAACTGCAGGACGAAGAAATTGACTTTTCTCGATCGGTTTCCATACTTCAAAGACTGTTTCAGCCGTGATTGTAATCTAGAAGAGAAAGGTAATGTGTAGGTGATCGAGACGCGAGCGGTGTCTACTAAATTGCATCATTTATGGCGTCAGAGCCGGATCTCACTGAAGCTAATAGGCTGTATGTATAGGGCAACTGTAAGAGCCGTCCTACTTTACGGTTCTTACTTTGTGGTCTTACTTTATGAGACTCGTCCCACCCCCCACCCCTTATCTGAGGTCATTCAGAACCTTCAATCGTCTGGCCACAGCTGCTTCCTTAGCATAGCAATGGTTACTACTACGGTGAGTCCGTGAAGAGATTGTGTGTAAGCGGATAGTTGGTAGCGGAGTGGAATGGCCAAGCTTACCAAGTTAGGGTGGTTTGGGACATGTACCATCTATGCCCAGGCCCCGTCTTCCGAAGAAATCGTTGTTTGTTGTTCCAAGCAATTGTTGTCCTTAGGTCCTCGGGGGCATGCCTGGCCCGGCGACGTGAAACGAAGGTGACTGCAGTCAAATTGAGTGCTGTGGGACTGCATATTCCTGACTTTGGTTCACGTGATCCTGCTTGCTGTTGTTTGGAAGCCTTGCTGGATATGGCACGCAGCGTACCCCAGTGGTGCGTATTTTGTGATTTCCCGGCCAGACTGTCTAGCTACGGCTCGCCTGTCGTCGTGTACTGAGCCTTTCGTGTGAGGTTTACAAAAAGCGCTGGACCAATCCAGCCAGTGCTCAAATGTGCCTACTTTGGTGCTGTCCAAAGTTGTAGGCATATTTATTCTTAATCATACTACTTAAGGACATGGGTTCCCGTGACCCTAAGTCCTTCACCTTTCTTTCTACCCTTTAGGAAATTATTCCCTTGTAGTTGTTCGGTTGGTAAGCACCAGTATTGTCACTACCTGGTACCACTGGAATCATTGGATTCGATGAACTTGTGTAAGAAATGGCCACAAATCTATGAATTTCCTCTTCGCAGTACGATTGCTCTTTGTTCTTTTTCTTTTCTGCCCTCTTCGGTCTCCCTGACCCTGATAAATGAAATTCGAACCAATGCAACCCGTGATCCACCACTCGGTTGGCAGTTCTTGGTTATCCAAAGTCTGCTTTGCATCAACCTGCTCATGTAACAGTTTTGTCAAAGTTAGTGTGAATTCGCACACAGTTCCAACTTTTATTAAGGTTGCGTGTGATTGTACTGGTTCTGTTGGTGAGCTGTTCAGTCCTCGTTCCAGTTGAATCAACCTGACTGCTAGTCCTTGACCTTAGTGCGGGTAGTGTATGGACAGTTACGAAGTTACATCTCTTGACTTATTAGTAAACGACAGAAGGGTATTCTTCGTCCAGTTTTAATGATGTACGTGTGGCCGGTTTTTCCCAGTTGGTTGCAATATGTCCCGTTTAAACCTTCACTCCAGTCGCAGGTGCTTCCTCATCTTTTTTTTCCGGTTTTCACTTGTCAGGCTACACTCGTCATCGAACTACACAACCAATAATCTCATTAGCAAAAATGGCCACTGATTTCAGTGTTACCGAAGCAACTCCTAGTGCCACTTCACTTGCTGAAAAACGGCAACAGGTAATGTGGGCACTCCATGTATGACAGTTTTAGTGCTTGCTGTGTCCCCTTCCCAATGATTTCCTCAGAGTTCTACCTTACAACGAAGACCTGCGTGCCCGCGGTGCTGTCCAAAAGGAGGAACGTTATTTGGAGCTGGTCATTAATGAGGTTTGTTACTTTTGAGTCACTAGCATTATCTAACCTTTCCTCTAGGCCCGTCTCGTAAAAAACTATGGTCTGACTGCAATGAATCCGTATTGCCGTGTTCGTCTGGGTGATGCACGTTATGAGACACAAACTGCCATGAGTTCATCCAAACATCCTGTTTGGAATGAAGTTTGCAGATTGTGAGTGATCATGCTTTTGCGCCAGTCATGCGTAAGCTTCTCGCATAAGTTTTTCGACAGGGGGATTCCCCTATGTCTATTCTCCTTTTTGGTAGCTTGTATTGACCGTCGGTTCGTTTTAAGATGCATTATGACTTATTTGGATTTTTTCCACCAATTTAGACCACTACGCAGTGACACGCATTTACTTTCCATCGTGTTGATGAACGAAGGCCTCGTATTGAGTGACTCGAAAATTGCGTGGGCAACCATTCCACTACCACAGGCCATTCTGGAGGGCGAGTGCGTGGATATGTGGTATGAACTTAGTGGAAAGCAGGGGGAAGACTTAGAAGGAACCATTCATTTAGCTATGCGGATCAGGGTAAGTTGGTAGTTTGTGACGACTTTTCACAAAGGGCATCAAATGATAGGGTTTGTTGCGGATGTTGTGTGCATACGTTTTTTTTTCAAATTACTCCATTCCCAGAGCGTCTGTTAGCCTGTGATTGATTACGCCCCCGATGTAAACACAAGCACAAATCGGGTAGAAACTTTTTGTAACAATCAATCTTTGGTTATGCTATCTGCTGTCACATTCTGTACAGATTGTCGTTCTACACAGCGTTCTATGTGGCGTCATAAAGAGACTGGAACTTGCAGTGTTGTGGCGTTTTGTGTGCCTCCGTAACCCGTTGAGCTATACTGGCTAGTGTCCGTGCGACACCCACTCAGTGTCATACCAGATTGATCAATGAACAGATGTCTGACGAGCACAGTCTCCTGGCTCTCCATGTTGGTTTTGGAATAGGTGGCGACTTGTTCCATAAAGATGGTAATGCATTCGCAGTTTCTTGCCAAACACCGCTGACTTCCGGTGTGATGGCAGTATCCCATCCTACGTACAACTATGACACGTGACTATCAATAGTCTCATGCCACATCTGCCGTCGCGTGGTGTTACCGGCTGGATCTCTTACTTGCTTCGTACAGCTGATCGAAAACACGAAAACGTGCCACTGCTGACGCCTACCTTATTATACCTTCCCATTTTGCCTCCTACCCTACCCCACCCCTATTTGAATGCTATCTTTGCATGTCTCAGCACCAAACGTGACCGCTATACCCGCCACGAATCACGCTCAGCTGCAGCTTTTGTGTCCGACCTCAGTATGAACTCTAAACACTTCGAATTCTGTTTACAAACCCCGATCAGTCTAGTTAACTGCATACTGAAGCAAACAGAATACGATGCCAGTACGCTGGATTCCCTCTGCATTGATGTATGCTGCCTGTCAGACACAGGTACTGCAATTGAATTGACTGCCTCCTTGCTTTCTTCCAGGTTTTGGTGATTCGGATGTCTCTGCAACCGGTGGGTATTGTTCTGAGCTACCGAGCGGAAGCGTCTCTGCTTGATTGGATAAACGTCGATAGTCGCTTTTGCACGGTTCGTTTGGCAACGTCTGTGGGAGAATTCTGAGAAGGCACCCTGTTTATTGTATTTGTTCGCGTTCCAACAGATTATCTCTGAATCTGCCAAAGACAGCTAGTATGACACTTCAGATGCTCTTTTACAACGAGCCATATGTTCAGACATCGTTGTGGTTGGTATTGACACGAATGTCCAGATAGACCAAGAACTGCTGTGGCCCAATTGTGTGGTAGTTTTGGATTTGGATACAAGACGCATGGACAACGGAATACATCCACTTCAACTATGAGTTGATCACAGACTGTTTCTTTGGAGTAGCGAATTCCGGGACAGCGGCAATCGCTTGACAACGTGATGTCCGCCAACGAACCAGTCCCGAATCCAAATAGTCCATATCGCCGTCGGTTACTGGTGGCGAGGGTCGATCACTGCCAGCCGCTTCTTCTGGGATACTAGAGTGGACCCCAATCATGCGCTGATGAGGTACCGTTTTTCATTGCGCTTCTTAAGTCTACACAAAACGTGCACCCCTCGCTTAGCCACTGTGAGGGTACTAGACCCAGAAATCAAACAAACTAATCAGGACCGAGTATTCGAAAGCTTTCCGGGTGTTCCCGTGTCGGATATTAATGGCTACTGGGAACAGATATCCAAGGCGCTACGCAAAGCCGGAACTTTGTCTGTCTTGTAACCCAACCGACCTCATCCAAACATAGGATATCTGATAGATACGTGGTTTTGCCGGACTCCCAGTGACAGAGTCCTCCCGCTGACAACTACAACTCAAGCTGACTCATCATCCGAAGGCAGGTGATATCGAGTGTCCATTCAGACCGGGAAGCTTTGTGGACCCCGAAAGGCCGAAGAAATGGGAGATGCCAAAAATGCTTGAAACGTCCGCAGACTGCTCCATCTGATTCGGCCGACTGGTCCTCAGGAGCAAATCCATTAGGCCCCTATATTCATATACTCCTTGGCGCCTGACAATGCATAGTGAGATGCCTGTAAAATGCCTTACAAAAAGTGTCCGACAAGGATGTCCACTCTCTTCACTCTTTTATCATTGATAAATAATAAGGCAAACGCTGGATTGTCTTCAAAACCCCTTTGTTCAAGTCGTTCTTGGTGAGAAACTTTTCGATGTGGAGTATGGGGGGGTGGCGAGGTCACCCAAGTGATTAGAGCGCGAATTTACTGACTGGAAGGTCCATGATTCGAACCCCGCCTCTGCCTCTCGACTTCCCTTGTCTAGTATCCCAGCCCTGGTGCAACTTTCGGGTGGCGTGGCAGTTAGGCACCGAAAGGGTGCTACAGCTGAATGATTGATTGATTCGGAGTACGCAGATGACGTGGACTTCATCTTTGAAGACGAAACCCAGACACAAGGTTGAATACAGTGACCACTATCATACCATCTTTCAGCATGCACCTTTACCTACAAAGTGCGAATTCATGCTTCGGAGCGTAGCCCTTACAATTCACGGGGACTTTCTTAAGTTCGTGGAGAATCTTATATACCTCTGTAGTTATATGAGGTCAGATGGAAATGTCTCACGAAGTCATTGCAAGAATCTCAAAGGCCCGAATCATGTTTCCTAATTTGTGTCACTTGTGGCGTCAAAAAAGGGTATTATAGGTCGCGTGTACCAGGCTACAGTGAGAGCTGTGTTGTATGGCTGTGGAACGCGGCTTTTATAGACAAATAATATAAGGCGTGTCTAGGTTTTCGACCACCGATGCCTCAGAAGTGTGGCTGGTTTTGGATAGCGTCAGCATGTTAGTAACGAGGTGATTAGAAAACGAGTATTCGGTTGTGCGGCAGGCACTTCAGTCGGGGAAAACATCTTGCATCACCGGCTATAATGGCTCGGTTATGTGCTACGCATGCAGTAACGCCGTCTACCGGGACGAGTGTAGTCCTCCGTGCCTCCAGGATGGCGCAAACCACGAGGTGGACAGCGCATGACTTGGCAGAAAGGCATGAAAGAGAGCACGAAGAGTTTGGGTGTTGTTGGTGTTGTACGCCTTCCAGGATGCGGTCCTCGAGACCCCGCCTGTGCTTGTCTGGAGACATTGCAACAGATGGCAGCCAATCGATGTTATCGGTGTTCATGCTGTTAATTTCTCTCCAGATTGTCTGACTGAGTGCTTGGAAGTGTGGGCTAGACTAGGTCCCCTACTTCACCCACTCTTTTCCGTTTTCGTTCTAAGGCTTTACACATAATTAGATAAACTGTGTTGTGCGGCAGTGAAGCATCAGTGTCGACGGCAATGTTGTCTCATATTTTTATGACGATGATAATGACATTTTACAAGCGATTTTTAGGATGTCCCATCTCTGGCAACCTAGGTTGACCACTCTGACCCCTTTATGTGACATATTACGCTGTCACCTTCGGAAGTTTCTCAACATAGATTACTGTTTGTTTGTTCGCCTTAGTAAAAAGCGTGTGAGCTGGGCTGGATATACTCACAGGAGCCTCATTTTTGCGCCTAATTTGGAACAGACTTCAACTACCAATTATCTCGAGAAGTCTTGGGTCTACAGATCAAGCGTCAGCGTACGGACAACGTGGCATCGACATATTGTCCTGATGAGATCATTCCCTGTCTCGATCATGGACACAGGTCAACTCAAGACCTGACTGGGATCGGACCATGACTGTTTTGGTTTTCGAGCTAGACTATTCATTTATCTGGTTTTTCTCGCGTTTTATAGTTTCCTAGTCACTCGCTACTGGTACTTTTTTTCTGACGACAAGCAACAAATCCCATACTAGTCACAGGGGAACAAGCTGCTATGTGGACACGAAAAGATCAACCTTCAGTTTCTGGGCCTAACCTGTGTTTCGAAACTACAGTACTGAATATAGGTTCACCATCGACGTCTGATTGCGGTTTTTCCGATTTGAGTGCTCTGAAGGCCTATGTTCGTGGGGTGATAATCAGTGAATCAATANCTCTGAAGGCTATGTTCGTGGGGTGATAAACAAATAAACAATACATGCGACAACTACGGTTGTCAGTTTCAGGGATATCCTTGCCAAGCTTTTGCTTATGTGTCTCATATTCATCCATTCTTTTCACTGGAGCTTTCGAATCTCCAGTCAGACCGTTAATATCTGCGAATTCATCATGCTGAGAAGCATGGTACTTTCCCCTTAAATGACCACAGCTACCGCGGTGACGAATAAATTTCGTGTTTTTGGTTGTTGGTTGTGTGTTCCGGTAGACCCAGTCACTCTGGGTGCACACTGTTGGGTGTCTCAAAGAGCTCTATCGGGTGGGGCGTCCTCAGCTTTCGTGTTCAATGCAGTATCCACACCATCGAGACCACTGAGCGCTCCTTCTGGACAACCCGACTCTCGAACATGGGATGAGAAGCTGATTTGGCCCGGAATTTATTTTTATACACACTCACTTATTTATCTTGCGCTTGCTGGCGTCCTGATAAGGATTGTTACGGCGCGTCGCAGGTGGAACATCTGTACCGTAACCATAACGGTACATCGAAGTCGATCACGTCTTTGTGGGCGATCACTGACAGGGCTCTTAGAACGTCCGAATACTGTGACTGACCTTCGTGGGGTGTATACTGCCGCCGTTCCAGTAGAGCTCATAACGTATATGAGTCGATGCTATGGTCCTGATAAAAATGTGGTACGTTGAACAACAAACTTTTTGACCAAAAGGTTCCGGGTTCCCGTTCCGTTAAGTAGGCTACCCAACAGAAGAGAACGGACATCTTGCTGTGCGTTTTATCCTATACAGTTGCATGAAGAAAATACTGGGCTCAACATCTTCCCCTAATGCAGCTGCGACTCACCTTGGAAAGAAGAGATTTGGGAATTTTTGTGGAGATTTTGTCTCGTAAGTGAAGCCAATCCATGCTGAAATGCCCCGAAAAGTACTGTACAACTGTCCCGTCCTTATTGGGAATCATCAGCAGTGTGCATCTCACGAAACTCCGTGGAGTCTCGAACCAGCGGCCTCGTGGCTAGTAGTTTGAACACCTAACCGTTCGGCCACGAGTGGCTGATCAGCAGTGTGATTAACTCGCACTTAGACAGGATATAGCGCCGCTCATCCTTCAATCACGGGATCCACATCACACCTGTTGACTGGCTCCTTAAGCAACGACTTTTCAGAGGGAAGTTTCACTCATCTGGTGAAATTTATTCTTCCACTGGGACTCTCCGGAGTTTCATGAGATGCGCACTGGTGATGATTCCCAATAAAGATGAAACAGGTGTGCAGTGCTTCTCGGCTTTCCAGCATAGATTGGCTTCATTTACAGGAGGAAACCTCCACAAAAAGATACACAAGCAAACTGTACGTCCCTGTAGGGATTGGAACGCGTACACATCTACAACAAATCATCTCTTGTGTTCAGCACATCCACTTGACTAAAAAGTTGTAGGCCACGAGTTTTGAAACTGTTCCCTGCCGTTCATCTCCTGGTTCTATTCCTTCGGATATGACGCACTTGGCTCTGCCCAATTTGCGTGTAGCATTACTTTGGCTTGTTTGTAGATATTTCAGCGTGTGATAGGTGAATCCGTACTGTGTACGTGAATCACAATCTGATAGGTTCCTTCCGAAAAGACGCGCACAAATACACTCCCGTTCCAAACAGCCTATTTTGGGTGTCCGACTATTCGGGCCTGTTTCCTGTAAGTTGCTTATAGACAGTGCCAAGCGATTAATGATAATTTTCGTGTTCATGACCTCATTGCGGCCGAGTACCGGTTCGGCTGATTTTCTTTGCCAATTGTAAAGCTGTTTAAAGTATTCCGATTAGGATAGTTCGATGACGTCCCGCTCTATATTAGGCTCATCTGCGATGTTTTTAGGACTGTGAATAGTCGTTCTTCAACCAGCGCCCACCGTTGAGGAGCCGTATTTGGTAGGTGGTTTGCTAGTGAGTTCACCTTTCACTGATAAGACTGCCATCTTGGAGGAGGTGAATGTCTTTAAAGACCGTCACAGAAATGGTGGTGCTTGATGCTATCATGAAACAGACTATCTGCCTTGTTATACAAACCGTCATCGAAGTTAAGTTAGGCTGTACAGTGTATTTCAGTGTTGGCCATTCGGAATAGTATGTTGGGATCAAGGCTTATGCTTTTTGTGTATCCTATTCGGGAAGATGTGTTTTCGTCTAAACAATTTTTTCCTATTTCGATCTAGATAGGGACAAAATCGTTCAGCTGTAACACCCTTCCGGTGCCTAGCTGCCATGCCACCCGAAATAAACACGAAGGCTTGGGTACTGGCAGGTTAGCCCAAAGCCTAGGCAGGGGAAGTCGAGAGGCAGAGATCGGGTTCGAACCACGGACCTTCGGGTCAGTAAATTCGCGCCCTAACCACTTGAGCCATCTCGCCTCAATAGGGACAAAAGCATATACCAAGTCCTTCTCGGGACATCGCTCATTGTATGCGTGTGCAGTGTGCTGCCGCCATTGGTATATTGACGCCACTTCCACTGCTCTAAAGCCCTACTGTAGCGTGGGATATGAGCAGCCCTGTAGATGCCTGGATGCTCTTCTTTTGTCCACTGCGTGGACGCGACGAATCTCTACCGATCTAGGTTAGAAAGACTGTTCTTACGCGGAAATATCAGTGGTAACGACAATGAAAGTGAGGAATGGTAAAGGCGATTGTTCTTTATATTGCTCATTACTTTACTACTAGATGTAATGCTTCGATAGTGACCCATTGCGTTCTCCCTCTAGAGGACCCCCAGATGGAGAATTTGGGTTCTGTTCTTCTGTTCCTCTACCATAACACTGCTTCATTTTTCACGTTTTTTTACCTTAAATTCTTGTCTTGTTATGTCACTTCTCTCTAGACCGTCCTGAGACTGGATCCCAGTTATCGTGTCAATGCTGTACGCGGTACGTCAAGTCTAGTCCCTTTGTACGCATTTATCCATAAGCATCTATGTTCATTAGCCCCAGTATATGCCGAACGAGTAGCAGACGGTTCAAAATTCGTGTACTTCTTGTGGATCACGTTCTTAGTGCCCTAGCTTCTTTAAATGCTTCATTGGAAATGGCCGCTCGAATAGCACTTTTCATGTGGCCTATTACAGCTTTACAACAGCATGGAAATGGACATATTCCGCTCCAGAAGAGAAGATAATTTTATCAACGAGGAGGAATTCTGTTTCCGGATCTGCCCCGTGTTTCTGTAGCTAAGTAATTTCTTTCTCATTTGTTCCAAGAAAACTGACTGATTTTTGCTGAATTCGTCCCATGGACTAGGCCACGAAGCATACTAATCTAGTCACCGATTCCACGGTGTTGCGCTCGATTCATTGATGTGCGGTTCTCAACATCACTCAGTTTAGCCTTTCATAGTTCCCAGGTGAACCTCATCCGGGATGAACCGTGTCAGATTTTCGTGACCTCATTTCATTTACAGCTCAAAATCAGGTGTGATAAATGATAAGGCCGCCTTATTCTCTCGCTTCCGCGTAGATAATTTCCGGCAGTGCCTGGCAGAATAGGAGACCAACATTTTCGTTTCCAGTCCGCTAACATCTTCCAGTGTAGTAGCTTTTGCCGTGGACGAACTATTGCAAGTTTATGATCTTACCGATCAGCCTGTCATGCTTATTTTAGTTTTTTTCCCGATTGTTGTTAGTTGCCTATAACCAGATGATTTTCAATTCTTTTTCCATATTCTAGCTGTTCCTTGTGGTCCTCTGGTTCCACCCACATCTGATGTTCCTTCTGTCACAGCCCAAGGCCAACAACAGACAGCTCGACCGATTACTGCGGAGGATATACAGGCAATCAAGGAAGTTTTCCCGAGCATTCAGGATGACACCATTCAAACGCTTCTAGAGTCCCATGACGGAAATCGGGATGAGGTCACAAGTGAATTACTGCGAATGACGAATGAAACTTGAACATCCGGTCAGCCCTTGACAGATGAAACCCTTCGAAAACCCTCATTTCGACTTTCTTCACGACACTTGTTATTATCATCCCTCTGTTTACAATCACGTTATTTCAGACATACTGATATACTGGTCATCAATGGTTTCCCCGGGCCTTTTTTGGAGTTACTTTGGCTTGTGTCGTCAAATTGTTCACAGTGAACCTGAATGATTGAGTTTCTTTGGTTTGTGATACTGTGATGTAACAATAGAATCATTCTTATCCAGAACCTCTCTTTAAATCTGTTTGCATAAGCGGTTTTGCAAGCTCCACATAGAAGCTTGGCTCGGTCTTCCAACTGCTTGACAGCATCTGCTGCTTTAGACGACAGATCACTGGTATCCTGCAAAAATTTCAAAACCAATCGGTAGATTTCCAGTCGGAAAATTTCTGGAACCCATGAGATTTCTGCGTTTGAGAAGGGGCTGGTAAACAAAGAACTACCGATTGTTGGTTATGGATTTGCTGTTATATTGCTTGTTGCTGCCATAAATCATCACAATAGCACTTTGTCAGAACACCGGGCCTTTCCTGTTCAACGTCGCTTATGCTTGCAGGTGTGGTGGCTCTTTTTGAGTAATAAAGTCACAGTATCCGACACACATGAGTGTCTACTGCGATTTCATATTCATTTGGACCTGGTAACTCCCGACCTAAGGCTGCCACCTTGACGTGACAAGGTGCACCATGTCAGGAGGGCCAAAGGGGAGCAGCCAGACCAAGAGCAGCGAGACCCCGTACTACGAGTAATCATGCTACGAGGCGGTTTGGGGGTAAAGTCGTACTGTCCTCTGCGACAGGAGTGTGAAGGCAGTAAGGTGTTTCCCCCAGGCGACTAGTATGTCCATATTTATGGAAGCAGCGATGCTGCCTTCCTCCGAGGAAGGACGGGTTAGAATAGGTCGGCCCCAAAAACCGCACACTCCGATCGCCCAACGGTTGACCGTGACCGCCGGCGCATTATCCAATACGGTCGAAATACTTTTAAAACCAAAGAGCCCGGTGCTGCTCAAAAGGCACCTGCTGTGCGCAGCCGCATCAGGAATGAGACAGTAATGCCTTATTCCCTGCGCCCTCGGGTTAGGCCAACCCCCTGCA